TTTTTGTGATGTCCTGGGTGAACTTGGAGAAGATGCCCGTAACTTCTGTTCCCAGTCTGTTGACTAAAACAATGCTATACTCAGCAGCCTCTGTCAGCTTCTTTGGTTAGTTGGGCCGCCTTAATAGTAGGGAAGAGGATCATGTGTGTGTTTTAGAAACACTGCATTAAAGTGTTTGTGTTCAAATGGAATTTTACACAGAGAAGGAGAGCACTAGAGACAGCCCGGTGGAGCTTCAGGGAAAATCTTGAAGGGTAAGGAGAACTGCCAAGCTCTAAAATAAGTCAGAGGGCCAAAGCATATATTGTATCCATAGGATCTCAGTGTATCACTAACAAAATCCATACCTACTGGTTTAAAAATGAGTAAGGATAAAGAGGGAAAATTTTTTCCAAATTTCTAGGCAAATTCATGAAATTGCCATCCTATAACTCTAGTAAAGAACTAAGGAATTAAGGATACTATAATTTATAATACTGTGGAGTGTTTTGTTTTGCACTGTTTTGTTTCTTGATTTCTATCAGTAAAATTACTAGCTGTGCAATTAAAGACCATCTGGCAAAGGAGACAATTCTGGTCAATGCATATGGGCTTTTCAGCACATTTATGTAGGCCCTGATCAAACAAATAGCAAACAAACAGTTCAAAGTCCTAATGAAAATGATGCTTAATCTAGCAACATTATGTCATTTTTAGAACAATTTTTTCATAATAACAAGTGTAGTAAAGTGAACAATAGACTTAGATTATTATTTCAATTTTGTAAATATGTATTTGAGAAACCTTCAACCTTACAGCACTGAAAATCATTCGAGGAAATTTGAAGTTGAAAAGCAGACCATTGTCCAAGGTTATAAAGTTGAGATAACAAGAGGTTGGAAGAACGAGAAGTCTACCCTGCCTTCAAAGACTATGTGGGCAGTGCAGAGACCATAAAGCTAGACTCCCACTCCCACTCCCCAAAAAAGATTAAAATTAAACCTAACAAGGGTGGGGAATGAGCTTCTCTGCCCAATTAGGAAGTTTTACAAATGATAAGGAGCAGACTTCATGGGGAATGGGACAAATACACACATAAAACAATCACGAAGACTTGATAGTTACTTATATTATATTTTATTTTATTAGGATAGTAAAAATCACATCTTGAGATGGAGACCTACAGTGGTAATGAGATGTATTGCATGGAAAGGCATGAAAAAGAAGAGCAGTGGCACAACTAAAATTCCACATACACAGGCGATAACACCAAAATATCAGGTCCCTCTCTTCCCCATTGATGCCATGATAGTTGTACATGTTTGTCCACTGTTTGGGTTAGGCTGGGATATCTGTCCCCCTCCTGCCACCTTGTACTCATGCATATATAAGAATAAAAAGCCATGTTTCTGTGTTGAGATTCCCTATTGGTCTTTTGATAACAGTATAGAAAAGTCCTGTTATAGTTTGAATCTAGATGTCTTCCCAAAGCCTCATGTAGTCACTGGGATGGGTTTCTAGAGTTTGTGATTAATTCATGAATCAAATGCTGGGATTATGTGTGTGAGTGCTGCTGGGATTATGGGTGTGAGTGCTGCTGGGATTATGTGTGTGAGTGCTGCTGGGATTATGGGTGTGAGTGCTGCTGGGATTATGGGTGTGAGTGTTCACCCACCCTGGGGCAGATAGCCTGGATAAGGGAAGGAAAGAGGATGCTGCTGGCATTGTTTCTCCCTTTTTGCTTTTGCTGTTTTGCTGTTTTCTACCGCCATGAACTGCTGCCATCTGCTATATGCCACTCTGCCTTAGAGCAAGGTGATTATGGACTGAAACCTCCACAAACTTTGAGCTAAATAAACCTTCCTTCCTTAAATTTGGACTTCAGATATTTTGTTCCAGCAATGAGAGAAAAGTCACCAAGACAAGACTTCGTGGTTGGTAACACTACTGTCTGAGGATGGAACTCTATAAGAATCCCACAGAACTGTGTCAGACCAGGCTGAGAAGAAGTCCCTACTCAATATCTAGTCTCTCTTCTGCTAGAGAAATCATAGAATAGTCCTTGTGCTGAGAAGGTGGCTCCTGAAGTCTGAGGCTGACTACATCCTAAGTCTGAATGGAATGGCAGTTTGCCTTACAGCTGCCCAGGACTGCAGCAGACTCTTGTATGAGCGAGATGCTAATTTCTGCTCTGATAATCTTCTCAGATGAATCACAGCAGAGGCTATTATGTCTTGACAAATGAGGGCAGGCAGACATAACGTAACACAGTAAGCATTTTAATATGTCATAAGTAAAGAAATACCCTTGGCAGTGAAGAGAGTAGTTCATTATCTCTGAAGAAGCCAGCTTAAATGAAGCAACTAGAAATATAATATTGAGGAAGAAGAAAGACTGCAAAGGGTGGGACCAAAGAATACTACCTTTTCAGAATCATGTACAGACAGGTAATGTAGAAAATCAAGGAAAGGACAGAAGAGCAAAACAAAAACCAGAAAGTAATGGTGTAGAAATACAAAAAGAAGGTTGCTCCAAAGAGCAGATTATTCTGAAAAGTTTCATGGGAAGTCATGAGATGCAACTGAAAAGAAGCCATTGCATTTGAAATTATGGAAAACTTTAAGACAAATTCAGATTTAAGAGACAAAAAGGAAGTGTTCCATGCTTAAAGAAAATATAATATGCTTACAGAGAAGCATTTCAGAAAATGTGACATTTATCAGAACAAATGCTCCACCCAAAAAGGGACAGATTCATTTGATATGTGTTTGTTGTGTATTATATATCCATGAGGGGATATTTTAAAACCTACTTGTGATTTTTCTCATGCTTGAAGACAAGCAAGGGAAGAGTATTCTGTGCTTCACAACTGACAGCTTCAAAGCAAGGAAGAAAAAGAAATATCCCAGAATTGCTTCACAAGTCTTAATCAATAAAGTTTAGTTTGTGGCTGGGGAGACAGCTCAGTAGTATAAGCACTTGCCTGGTAAGCACAAGGACTCAATTTTGATCTGTGGTGTCACCTGCCTGTAATCCCAGTGCTGGGGCTGAGACAGGAGGATCACTATGAGTCCAAGCTGCATAATGAGACCCTATACCTAATGAAAGAATAAATAAATAAATAAATAAATAAATAAATTCAAAGATATTAAAAATAAAGTTTAGTTTCTAATGTTACTAAAGTTTGATTAACTAAAATAAATAAGAAACTCAAGAAAGAATGAGGTTAAATTTTTAAAGTGACCAAAAATTAGAAATAAAACAAAAAATGACAAGTGATACAGATTTTCACTTAACAAAGTAATATGAATTTCCCAGTATTTGTTGTAATACATAGTGTTGCCTTCCAACCAGCTATTCATATTACCAGATAGATGCATGCAAAATTAGAAGAAAGAAATGTATAAGAAATTAAGAAGAGGAAAAAATACAAACAATTGAAAAAAGGAGACAAAACAAATTAAAGCATTAGCTGTTTCTTTACATAGACCAGCAGAAATGCACAGGACAATTGTCCAAACCATCCTGCTTACATACATAGATAAATCTTTTTCACCCACTCCCTCTCCTGTCCTTCTCCTCAACTCAATAACTCTTTCCTTTTGAATAAGTTCATTCCCTTTTACCAGTGTCTGTTGTACCCATCAGATTCCATTTTTCTCTTTCAGATTCTCACACTAAGAAGACAATATGATGTTTGTACATGTGGGTCTGATTTATTTTACTTCAGAGTATGTTCTCTCGCTGCATCCATTTACCAACAAGAGTGTCAAATTTATCCTGTTTTATAGCCAAATAAACTCCATTGTGTAAAAATATCACATCTGCCTTATCCATTCTTCAACTGATGGGCATCTGGGTTGTTTCCAGGACTCAGCTATGACAAATTGCACTGTTACAAACATGGGTGCACATATGTCACTGTAGTATGAGGTTTTGAGTTCTTCTGGAAAACTAGCCAGAAGGGCTGTACCTGGGTTGAATGGGATCTCTAATCCTAGTTTTTGAAGGAAACTCCACACTGATTTTCACAGTGGTTATATGAGTCTGCACTCCTACCAACAGTGGGGAAGGGCTCCTTTTTCTCCACAGCCCCTCCCTGTTTGTCATTGGCTTACTTCTTCATGTTAGCCACTCTTTCTGGGGTGAAATAGAATCTCAGTGTTGTTTTAATTTGCATTTCTCAAATCACCAATTTTTCATATATTTACTTGCCATTTGTATTTTCTCCTCTGAGAAAGTGTATATCATCTCAGATGCCCATTTTTGGATTGGGTCTTTGAAACTGAGGGACCTGATTTTTTTTAATTCTATATATTTCAGATAAAAGGCCTTTGTCAAAGGGACAGTTAACTATAATTTTTTTTCCAGTTTGTTTGTTTTCTTTTTGCTCTGTTGAAGATTCGTTTTAAAGTACAGAAAGTTTTGAAAAAGATGAGGTCCCAGTTGTTGAGTCTTTGAAGTATTTCCTGTGAAGTTTTGTGTTTGCTCATGAACACTCTACCTAGCCCTATGTCTTTAAGATTTCTACCTACATGTCCCTCCAGAATATTTAGAGTTTTTAATATTTAAATCTTTGATCAATTTTGACTGTAGCTTTGTGCATGGTGATAGGCATGGGTATAGTTTTAGCCTTTGGCATGTGGGAAGCAGGGTTTTCCAGCACCATTTAATTAAAGAGGCTATCTTTCTTCCAGTGAATCCATTGGAACCTTTCATAAAAGACAAAGTGGCTGAGTGTGTGTGTTTGCAGTTGTGTCTGAATATTCTAATCTGTTGCATTGATCCTCAGGTCTGTCTCTATGCCAGTACCATGCTGATTTTACCACATTAGCTTTATAGTATAATTTCAGAACAGAGATTGTGATGCCATTTGCCTTTCCTTTGTTTCCTAGGATTACTTTTGATATTCTAGGTCTCTTCTGGTTCCAAGTGAATTTAAGGAAAGTTTTCTCTAGCTCTATGAGGTATACAAAAGACATTTTATTTTATTTTTTTTTGATGTTATAATTTATTTTATGAATGTCAATGTCTTATATACTGATTCACACTATGTACTGTATAAAATAAATATTATTTTTAAGTACACTGGAATTCATAAAAGAAGTCATCAAAGAATAATGGTTGAAATATTGCCAGTAGGGAACTAATTTCTATTATCCAATCCTTTTGATAAATGCTTCTGGTGCTATAGACAAATTTGATCTTCTTTGGAATGTGCTGTCCACTGCTTTTCTGTTTCTGTTACAGTAGCCATAAACAGCCGTTTAAGGATGTCCTTATCTAAATTCCTGCCAATAAGAACCAATCGATTTGTTCTCTCTGTGTCATCTTTCCAGCTCACTGGAGTCTCTTCCAGGTCATAGAGTTCATGGACACCTTGGACAATCACTTGTTGTTGTTTGTCTGTGATTGATACCAGCCCCTTCAGCCGTATGACCTCCATGCAGTGATCGTCCTTGTTTCTCACGTTCTTCTCCCACAGGAGATCCTGAATAAATACATTTAGACTTTCTTCCTTTACATTTCCTGGTACTTCAAATGTGATTGTAACAATACTCTGATCAAGGTGAGGTTGTGCTGTGGACATATGTTGAAGTTTTTCCTGAAAACTGATTCCAGAGAGACTATCAAAGGCATGAAGATCTAGTATGTTGGCAAGATCAACTCTGGATCTCTGTGTTTCTAAAATTTTTCCCAGTCCATTTATTGATCTAATAGTTGTTCTTAATTTTTTTAACTCATCTTCTGAAATCAAGTCTGTTTTATTGATGAGGATAATATCTGCCAAAGCAACTTGCCCCTATGCTTTTATGTTTCTCAGTTTTGTTTTGTAGTTTCATATTAATGATTTCTCTAATTAGCCCACAATCAATACTAACTTTAAATATGAATACCTAGTAGCTTCATTGGTGAGGCCATCTGGTTTTTCTTCTGCTAAATGTTTTAATCCATACTTTGAATCTACAACAGTTATGATACCATCAAGATAAATATCACTCCCTAGCTCAGCATCAACCCAAAATATAGAAGCCACAGCACCAGGATCTGCCAACCCAGTGGTCTCTAACAGTATGTAATCAAATTTCCCCTTCTTCTGCATCAAATTCTCAATAGCCCGAAGGCTACTGTCCTTCATTGAACAGCAGAGGCAACCATTTCCAAGTTCCAGCCACTCTTCATAGAGCTCTCCACCTTGACTCACAGCTAAGGATTTCTCTACTGCACTTCCTTCACCAAATTCATTTAAAATAACTGCTATTCGTTTACTATGTTGCTCTGTTAAAATGTAGTTCAGTAGTGTTGTCTTCCCAGCACCTAAATACCCGGTGATGATTGTGACTGGGATCTTGGCGCCGGGGCCAAGCTTTTCCTCTTCCTCTCTTTCCTTCGCCTCAATGGGAACCAACTCAGGGCAGTCCTCCTCGGCCGGTTCCTCTTCCTCATCTCCTACAAAAGACATTTTAATAAGAATTTCATTGAATCTGTATAGCAATTTTGGAAGTATGGCATTTTCACAATATTGACTCTTCCTATCCAGGAGCATGGAATATTTTTTGATTTTTTTCAAATCCTCTTCAATCTCTTTTCTCAGGTCATCATAATTTTCACTGTATAAATCTTTTACATTCTTTGTGAGATTGATTTCTAAGTATTTTGTTAATTTTTGTGTGAAAGGCATGGGTTCCCTAATTTTTCTCTCAGTGTGTTTATTCTTTGTGTAAAAAAATGCTACTGATTTTTGGGTGTTGACTTTGTATCCTGCTATGTTGCTGAATTTGGTAATTAAATCTATAAGACTCTTGGTGGAGTATTTGGGGTCTTCCACGTAGAATAGCATGTCATCTGAAAATAATGATAATTTCACTTCTTCTGTTCCAATCCTTATTCTTTTTATTTCTCTTTCTTGTTTAATTGCTCTGGCTGATGTTTCCAGAAATATATTGAACAGGAGTGGAAATGGTGGACATTCTTGTCTTGTTCCTGATTTTAAAGTGAAAGCCTTTAGGTTTTATCCATTTAGTATGATGTTGGCTGTTGGTTTCTCATCGATGGGTTTTATCAGGTTGAGATACAAACCATTTATTCCAATTTTCTGTACAGTTTTTTCATGAATGAGCATTTGACTTTGTCAAAAGTGTTTTATGCATCTACTGAGACGATAATTTGGTTTTTGTTCTTATTTCTTTGATGTGGTATATTACATTTATGGATTTGTGTATGTTCAACTACCCATGCATTTCTGCAATGAATCCCACTTGATCATAATGTATAATCTTCTTGATGATTTGCTACATTCTATTTGCCAGTATTTGTTAATGATGTTTGCATCTATATTCAGTAGAGATATTGGCCTTTAGTTTTCTTCTTCAGTTGGATCTTTCTCTTTTTTTAAAATCAAAGTAATACTTGCCTCCAGGAATGAGTTTAGGAGAATTGTTTCCCTTTAAATTTCATTGAAGAGTTTTAGAAAAGTTGGCATTAAATCTCTAAATTTCTTGGAGAATTCTTCTGTAAATCCACTGGCACCTGGGATTTTTCTTTGTTGGAGGGTTTTTACTACATTTTCAATTTTGTTTCTTGTTATTGCGTTATTCAGAATTTGTAAAGCTTCTTTACTCAGCCTTGGCATTTCATACGTATCTGGGAAACTGTCCACTTCCTCTGCTTTTCATCCTGTGAGAGTAAAGATTTTGGAAGTAAATATTGATGATCTGAATTTCTCTAGCGTGTGTAGTGATTTTACCTTTTTCATTCTTTATTGTATGAATTTGGGTTTTTTCTTTCCCATTTTGATTAGGTTGACTAGGGGTTTATCAATTTTATTTATTTTTCCAAAGAGCCGACTCTGATTACTTTATTCTTTGTATTGTTTTCTTCATCTCCAATGCATTAATTTCTCCTCTAATCTTTATAATTTCATGCCTTCTTTGGCTTTTGGTTTGATTTGCTCTTCTTTTTATTGAAGCATGAGATACAGCATAAGATCACTTATTTGAGGTTGTTCTGTTTCCCTAATGTTTACGAATTTACCACTATAAAATTTTGTCTTAAGATAGCTTTTGTTGCATACCACAGATTTCAGTAATTCATCTGTGATGCACTAGTGGTTTAGGAGGTTTTTATTTAATTTCCACGTGTTTATGGTGTTTTTGTAGTTTCTTTTGTCAATAAACCCCAGTTTCATGGCAGTGTGATCAGATAGTATGTATGGGATAATTTCAATTCCTTTGAATTTACTGAAGAGCGCTCTGGGTGCTAGCATGAAGTTTATTTTGGAGACTGTCCCATGTACTTCTGAGAAGAATGTGTATTCTATTGTTGCTGGGTGAAACACTCTATAAATGTCTGCCAAATCAATTTCTTCACAAGTTTGGTTTAGCTCTATTATTTCTTTGCTAATTTTTTGCCTAGTTGATCTGTCTCTTTGTGACAGTGGTGTGTTAAAGTCCTCCACTACTATTGTATTATTGCTCATTTGATTTTTCATGTCTATTGAAATTTGTCTTATATAGGAGGGTGCTCCTACACTGGGTACATCTATATTTATAATTGTTACATCTTCTTCTTTCAGTTTGTAGTATATAGTAACCTTCTTTATCTCTTTGGATGATTTTTGGTTTAAAGTTGTCAGCAACCAGGATGGCTACCCCTGTTTTTTTATGTTTGTTTGTTTGTTTTCTTTTTTCTGATTTCCTATGGCATGGAGGATAGTGTTCCATCATTTGACCTTTAGTCTGTAGATCTCCTTTTGAGTTAAATGTGTTTCTTGTATGCAGTATTTTGTTGGATTTTGTTTCTCAGCTTTTTTCCACCAGTAACAGGGATCAAACTCATGACCTTGTGCTTGCCAGGCAGGTTCCAATGAGCTGTATCCCTGGCCCCAGGATTTTTGTTTCTTAATCAAATCTGATAGTCTGTTTCTTTTGATTGATGAATTGCAGCAATTCACACTGATGGCTATAACTGATAAATATTGGCTTATCTTTGTCACATTATTGTCCTGTTATAGGTTCCATAATTTTTCCTTATTTTAATTACTTGCTCCATTTGGTAGTTCCTCTCTGTTGTTCTTGAAGCTGTGATAACTTGTGCATTTTTCTAGAATATCTGTCAGTACTCTTTTTAGGGTTGGTTTTGTTGTGAGGAATTTCTTCAGTTGTTCTTTATCATGGAAAGTTCTTATTTCTCCATTAAATTTGACAAATAGTTTTTCAGGGTACAACAATTTAGGTTGCAAATTATTTTCTTTCAGGACTATAAATACTTCACTCCAAGCACTTCTTGGTTTGTTGGTTTGTGTTGAGAAATATGCTGTGATTCTTATAGGTTTTTCATTGTAGGTGATCTTTTTCTTCTGTCTAACAGCTTTAAATATTTTATTCTTTTGCTGAATTTCTGAGATCTTGATTTTCATGTGTCTGGGTGTAGATTTATTGTGATTATGGCTGTGTGGAGACCTATATGTCTTGCTTATCTGTATATCAGGTTCTTTTCTCATGTTTGGAAAATTTTCTGCTAGTACTTCTACAAATAGTCTTTTTTATGTCACTTGTGCTCTCTTTCCCTGATTCATTGACACCTATTATATTTATTTTTCTTTGCATTGTCTTGTAGCTACCAAATTGTTATTTCCTGGTTCCTTGTTAATTTTAAAAGATATTTTATTTCACATTCATTAGCTGCAACACTGTCTTTGAGGTCTCAAAGTCTTCAGTTTCATTGAAGCTTTTTTGCCAGCTTTCAGTGGAGTTCTTAATATCCTGGATATCTATTTGAATCTGTTTCATGCATTGTCCATTTGGTGTTTCCATCATTTTTCTATTCTCTATTTTTCTATCTGTGTCTTCTTTAGCTGCACTAAGCAATTATTTCATAAGTGCTGTTCTTTCTTTTTGGACCTGAGAGATTATTTCCTCCCTTATTTCTTCTATAGCCTGATGGATTTGTTTCTTTACTTCAGTTACTATCATTTCAGAGATTTCAGGTGTGTGGTTTCCAAGTTCTTGTATGTTTTTGTCTCCTGGATTTGTTCTGGTGGGCTAGAGGATTGAGATTGCCTTTTGTTCCTGCACTTTGGCATTTATGAAGTTCTCAGCATGCACCCAGAGAGAGAGAGAGTCCTGCAGGTTACCCAGAGTTTTCCAAAGTTCTCATATGGCTCCAGGAAAGCTCCATGACTGCTTATGCTGAGCCCACAGAACAAAGCTCTCCTGCATCCCGCAGGCCACTGAGTCCTCCTAAGTTCTTAAAAGTTTGGTCTGGCACCAGCAGAAGCTCCATACCTGCACGCTGGAGGCTAAGGAAGGTCACAGCTTACCAGAGTCCCACAGGCTGCCCAGAGCTGCCAGAGTTCTTCAAGGTTAAAATTTTAATAGGCTATCTTGAAAATAAAAATGACAAATAAAATGTTTCCTATGCAACAAATTTGTAAAGAAGGCAGGTTGATAGCCTGACCAGTATAAGCTGCATGACTACCTTGTCATAATAGCTCACACCTGTAATCTCAGCACTATTGAAGATGAGGCAGATGAATTTCAACTCTGAGTTCATGCTGAGAAATTTAGGAATTTAATGAAACCTGTCCCAAAATAAAAAATTTAAAGAAGTAGGCATATAGGTCAGTGTGAGGGCTCTGTGCTGAATCTCCAGTGGCACAAAAAAAAAAAAAAAAAAGAAAAGAAAAAAAGAAAAAGGGAAATAAAAACTACCAGTCTGGCCAATTTCCATTTATTCCCTTCTCTCTAGTGTGTAGGTCAGGATAAGATTAACGTGTACTTCAAAGCCTTGTTTTGAACAATCATGAGGTAAAACATAGATGACAGCTAGAATATGGCCTGGCATGTAGAGAAAATTCAATCAATATTATTTCAGTATCATCATGACTTCACATTTCCTTTAGTACCTGGCTGACAATATAGCAGAATTTAAATAATCTGGGCTGCCCACAGAAGTGGAGTTACTGTCTCTCTGAAGTTAATTTAGCATTAGACAATGATTTGCATAGTCATAATTAAAAATCGACAGAGAAACTATAGTGTGTGATTACTCTGATCTTGTACTTGTGAATGAATTGCCAATAGAAGTAGAATTCTTACAGCATAACCATACTGGTGAAGTCTGTTCATTTAATGCATCTATTTGCATGAAAATATAATGATTTAATGCATATTTTTATCCGGAGTTCACGCCTAAATACACACACAAACACACATATGCACATGCTCTGAAATGAGCGGATAACAGGTCCATGCTTTTCAACCACCATTCTGTCCATTGCATTAAATCATCCCTCAAGGAACCTGTTTCCAGAAAATTAGCTATAAGAAAGTATTTAGTATTTTCATAATTAAAGAGCAATTTCTTAAATCTTAATGTGGAATGTAAAATCTGCTCTGAGGAAAATGGGATGATATATGCTGGGCTGCCAAATGGTTCCCTGCCTGAGA